GAGGGCAGAATTTTATCTATTCTACATAAAAATTTAAGAAGCTCTTGAAGCTTATGGGGTGGGAAAGTTTGTGCTCGAGACTGAAGTTTTTCCCAGTTGTCTCCCAAATAATCAGTCCTGAGGTTTGCGGAGACTTGCGTTGCTGAATTACACCAGGTTGTGCTAGGTAACAAAAGATAGGATCTTTTCTGTCCCCTTATGGAAGTAATCATGTTTTTCCTGTCATGTTTATTTGTATATTATTTTCCATGAACTACACCAAAGTTCATTGTTTCGACCATAGAAGGGCAAGTTAGGAGGTGTTACAGAGTAATAAGGTTGATGGATATTTCCTCTCCTATTTATTTCATTGTTACTTGGATTCTGTTTCCATGCAGAGGTTAATCTGAATTTGGTTTTGAAAGAAGATAAAAATCTGGGTGTTGTGTACACATCGCTCATGTCCAGGTTGCTCTTGTATCAGCAGTTCTGGATAGGTTGGAGGGAAAAAAAAGAACTGAATCATTTAAGATTTTGCAAACTGGACATTTGGCTAAAAGAAAAAATCTGAGATGTCATTTTTATATAACACAGTTGGATTCCTAAAGCTAAGGCTGTGAGCTGTTAACAACAAATTCAATCAAAACCATCTGACAGACATTTCTAAAGCAGTTCAGAAGATCTAAAATTATATCTTTCTCTGCAATTCAGTGAAGGGGTCAAGAAAACTAGTAAAATAAAAATGTGAATGGTAATAGGGAAAATTGAACTAATTTACACGAAATAATTTACAGTATAGATTTTCAAAAAACTTTCCACTCCTCTTCTTTCTTTTCTTCCATGACCTGAATTTTCCTTCCTGTGATTGCAAACACATCTTAAATACAGCTATATTTTAAATAATGGCATTAGAGAAAGTCCTCATGTAATATGCTCAGTAAATGTAGAGGCCTGATTACAGGTAACCAGTATTTTTCATGTCTGTTCTACCATGACTGTCTATTAGTAAGGCATGAGAATTTTATAAAGCAAACTTCTGCTGTTGCAGGTATTGGTAGAGAACTTAGAAAAAAACAAAGTAATAAAGTATATGGAAGCCATAGCAAATGAAATACAGTGTTCTCTCATTAAGTAAATCTGGGAAGGTGGATCTCAGAACTTGAGTCAGTTTTTTGCTAAGAGTCTAAAGTAAGGTACTTTAATACATGGAAATCTAGCTTTGATTTAATATGCAACATGACTCTAGACAACGCTGTTTTGTTAGGGAACTCGCTTCTTTAAATGTCTCTTGGATGGGAACTCATCTGAATCCAGTTACCTTCACTGATATGCCTGTGACTGAATAAGCCTCATCATGACCTTGCAAATTTAATTCTTCAGTAGAATAATGATGAGAATTTAAACCATCCATTTTGCTCTAACTTTTCTGTACTCTTCACCCTAAAATTACTACTTGGCATTCAGATCCTCTTTCCCTACCACCATAACTATTTTTGTTTCATTTTAAAACCCAGAGATCATGATACAGAGAGAATATTATTGCAGTTTTCCCAGATGGGGACTACCATAAGGACCTATCAATATCCCAGCACTGCTGTGCTCTTTATATATGCCTTTTTCCTTACCCATCATTGACCTGACCATGTCCCTTTACAGTTACTTAATAACTGTGAAGTCTTTGCTGAGAGCATGCTGTTCACAAAATAGGTTTCTCAACCTTAAATATACAATAGAAATACCCTTTGTTTACTTTACACTAGTCATACCAGTGTATAAAATTTATATTTGCATCTAAATTTCTATGCAGATGCAAAGTTAACTTAGCCTCTAGCACTGTACAGTGGGAATGGGACCAATGATTATGCACAATTATACCACTGTTAATGACCATAACTAGGAAGTGGGTGAACTTGTTTTATTTTCTATAAATCACACTGGTTCTTCTTTTACCTTTTTCTCTTCCCTGTCAAAAATCCTTGTACCATGCAGTTTAGATCCAAATGACTGCAACAGACAAACTGTTAACTAAGTTATTCTTCCATTTTGCTATAATTGTGTCCTCTGCTAAATAATTAAGTTATCACTTAATGGAATAAACAGATTTTACTGTATTTTTAAAATTCACTGAGGGGTCTGATCCAGATTCAATTCAATTAATAGTCATCATTTGAGAATACCTATGGTCTTGGTAACTTTGAATAAAAATTACTCCATCTAAAATTCTGCCATGGCCTTCTCAGAAATCCATGGAGAATTCAGAAAATCTAACCCATATTTGAAAGCTACCCTTGGGAATAAGCTATGTCCATGTTTGTTTGGTCTGCACCAAATACAGGCTGGGTACTTTATCAGAATGACAACCAGCATTCTTGCACTGATAAACTGCTGTACCAAAGAAAGAAATGCCCTGCATTTTCAGAGGTCTTGCTTATTGCTTCAGTCTGTGCTAGCAGTTTGCTGTCATGAACATGGTAGCTCACATTAGTAGTATTCATAGTCAGAATGAGGAGGAAACTGGACAACAGAGCTATAGTTCCTCTGGCAGGTCCTGGTAAGCCAATAAAACATTAGTTGGGAATCTGTCCACATGAGTCACTGCACCCAATTCCCACTCACACTGCTTTACCCTGTGGTTCTTCCACCCCTGGCTACGACTCTCTGTCTTTCCAGGTTTTATTTCTTACAATGTAGCTTTTGAACTTTATCTTCATCCTCACCAGTGGTGTAGTTGTGTCCAGCTGCTTGGTGTATAAAGACCATCAAGGCCCTACTCATGAGTTGCATCGTGGGGTTTTCTCAGACGAATATGTAGGATGTACAGAGGAGGGCTGCAAAAATATTCAGGCACTTCTAGATATTTATTTCTATATGTAACCAAAAAGTATTTTAATGTACATATTTCATCCCTGAAGAATTGCAGCTATCCTATATTTTCAGAAGTTAGGGATCCTTTTTTTTCCCAGAATATTGTCATAGGGTACCACTAAATACCAAGAACATTTACAAAAATATCAAACGAAAAACTGATAGAGGACTATCCATAGACGTAAGAGCACAAAGTAATACTTTCATACTTTAAAACAGATTACTTTTACAAAAATGGGACCATAATATTAAATAGGAAAGAAAAAAGGAAAAAAGGCTATTGATTAATGAAGTTTCAATAACAATTCACTGGAAGTTACAGCACACATAGGTGTACATACATGAAACTAATGCTAAAATTGTTATAAACATTTATGTAATTGATTGTCAGCAAGACATAATCTAAATTTTTTCATTGAACGTAAAAGAATACATTTGCAAATGGAAATGGCAGGATCATAGTCATGATCCACTGACTATTGACAGCAAAAGGAGTTAACTTCAATGTCTATTGAATCATCCAGTCATTTATGATTATTATTTATTCTTTTTGCTAAATGGATTCATTACTCAGGTTGAATATGCAATAGTTGGTCGTCTGTCTCACAGAAAACCTTGCAGTCCTGTACATGATGACAATTCTATTTTCTGCCGTGCACCAGAAATAAATGCAAATTTTAATTCAGGAAGTAAATACAAAAAAATGTACAGAGAATTCCAAAATACAGGTACAGAATAAATAAAATTCTATTTTCCTCCTAAATACTATCTCCTATGAAATTCAGCTTTCAGACCTGAGAGTCATAACAAACCAACACTTGGTTCCTACAGCAAGCTATGCACTGTTTTGAGTATACAGCTCTGTAGTTATACTGCAACATTGCTAGAAAGCCTCTCCCAGTGCACTCAGCACATAACAACAGATGGGGCTAAATGCCTTATTCTCACACCTGCAGGCTTTGATGCATATATGCTCTTTTCAGATTATTCTGTTGTATGGTATGTGATTAAATTGATGACCAAGATTTGATGGAGAGATGTACAGCACAGCAACTCCATTCTGTTAATGTATTTTAGTATATTTTTAAGGTTAGATACAATACTTGTAATACCTTTAGGAACATTGCCATCTCAGAAATGTTAATTTTAGATAAAGATAACTCGCAAATTTTCTGTGTGTATTATGCTACTCTCTATGCTTACTGCCCTTGAAATCCATGGGCTTCAGCTGAAACTTTAGCAAAAGGATGTAGTTGTGAGATTGAGTCCATAGATGTCTTCCACCTTACTCAAAAACAGTTTTCAGAGGAGGATATTTTTATTAAGACATTAAAATAGTCATATGATAGTGAGAGATACAATCTGTTAGTTTTTGGTATATGGGAATCAGTTCTCTTGATTTGTGATTGTTTGTAAGAATCTGGTTTCTTTGAGGATTTAATTTCCCATGTCAACTCTTTCCTAGAGTGACATAATAACATTGCATTTGTGACAATACAATTACTATCTTGACTAAAATGATCGGATCCTACAGACAGCTGTATCATTAAACAGTTGGTAATGATATGTAAGATGATAAGGTGCAAAAGCAAAGCTAAACAATCTATTAATACAGCAAATTTGCTGTTGCTCAAATCTTTTGAGACATAATGATTGATCAAAATTTCTCTCTGGAAAGGAGTCAAATACTGTCATCTTTCTACTCAGATATAAATTATGTTCCCTAAACCTTTGCCTTGTACAATTACTTGTACAGGATTTAGTCTCATGAAATGTTTACTAGCCCCACATTTATGGTTGACTGCATGTTAACCGCTCTGTTTCTAACCTGGCAATGAAACAGCTGAGTATCTTTTCAAGCAAGTTGATGCAAATAATAACTGCAACAAGCCCCCCACCATTTTCCTGTTACATACTCTCTAATTTGACTGGCCATCATGGTAATCTAGGACCAAAAATGGGATTCAGATTTTCTAGAGGTTCTTCTGTAGGCCACAACTTGTTCATTCACCATGGCTCTTTTTTTTTCTTTTTTTTTTTTTTTTTTTTTTTTTTTTTGCATAATATTTACCTCAAGCTTGCTTCAGGCTAATGTCTCAATAATTTCCACTCCTTTCTCAGGTCCTTACCACAAAGGACTTGACTAATGATCCATGGACAAAATGAAGCATTTAAATTTATTCATTAATCATTCATCTCCAGCTCATTGAAAACTTTAAACTTCCACAAAATTAAGATAGAACATTGAGGAGTGATTGAGGGAGACAGCTCTCAGAGAGCTAAAAAAGACTGGTAAACACAAAAACAAAAGTACATTAGACAGGGTGTCTGCAAGTGTCACATGGGCATAGGTATTGTTCCAGTTTACATAAACTTTAAGTACTGAATTGCAAAGCCTTTATTTGGGCCAACACAGTGGGGAAATCTGGGGAAGCGTACAGTCACTGTCAACACCACCAGTAATTATTCTCTCTTCCAATTAATGGTGACATAGATTAATTATCAGATGAGGCAAAGCCAATTGCAATCAGTCACCCAGAGCTGAAATTAGATCGTTCCTGACAGCAGCATGAAAGTCACCTGTTTCATTGTTATGGATTTGCTGTAAGTAAAAGAATGGCAAGGCATGCTGGGAGGTGAGTGAGTTTTTCGTCCATGGAAGTGTGAAATGGCAAACAGGTGAATGTCCAATTACACTGTTATCTGAACTGTGTGACTTTTCTTGTCTTTTATTTCAGCATCCAAGATACACTGGTTGTTTGCATTGTTGTCTGTAGTCGGCAAGCCATCTGTCAAGGAGTGCAAGAAAGCGGTGATGTGCTGTATTGCTTTTGACAACTCCCCCTGTTTAGAATAGAAAAAACAAACAAAATCAATAAGTACTCATTAATTAAGAAAACAAAGCATTATTATGAAATCAAACATGTGGAAAAGTTACTAACAATGACAATAAAAACAATCACTACTTCTGATGGAGATCTGAAAAATCTACTATGTGACTATGTAAAGAACTCTATTTAATAGCACCCCCTGTCATCAGTGAGGCTAGTTGTGGAGGCAAAAGACATCAGGACTATGCTCACCTTTAGTACATTAATATGCAGTAGTCTGACATCATGCAGCTCTGACAGTAATTTATGACCAGCTGACATCACACTTTTAGACCTGAAAGCTACAGACTAGCAGGAGCCTTACGGACTGTAGGGTGAGTACAAGTAACTGCTGGAATAGAGTGTGTGCTACTGTGAAGCCATTTTAGGACCTAATTTTCATGATAACATAAGCAGATACTATGGAAATGAATCAAACTGTTTTATTCATGTTTTCTAGCATGATCACTCCCCATCACATTTCAAGCCAAGAGCCATAGATCACAACAGAGAAAGACATGGTGATGCTCTGAGGCAGCATAACTCAGTATGTCCAGACATGTCCTGCAGCCCTTCCACAGTACCACTTGGCCCAGTAACTGTGTTTCTCATCACCTTCTCTGTTGCCACTGTGCATTTTGTGTCTCCCACTCCTAGTACAGCTGGGTCTGACCTTGTCATAATGTCTCTTTTTTGGAAAGGTTTATTGCTATTTTTTCTGTTGCTCCTCAAAATTCTATCAAATCCTATGGTGATTTAGGAATCAATTTTATGCTTCAAACTATTTACGATGATGTAATCAAGCAACAACCATGACACACAGATGCTCTGAATGATTAGCACATAAGAGCCAGCTCTAAAAGTCACATTTGTTTGCCCACCTCTCCCAGCTAGGCCTGCCTCACCCGCGTAAGAGATTATTTCAACAAGAAAAGTACTCTGCTGTAAAGAAATCACAAGGAGGCCTCCTCATTGGAAATTTCCAGGTCCCAGGCCACTTGTTAAGTCTCTGACTCTTTCCGGACTTGTCAGAAGAAACTTGAATGGATAAGTCTCTCACTATATCACACTGAGGCAGCCCAGTGCTGCTGTTACCTTAATGAAAATGGAATTGTTTAGGAAAATAGCTACAATTCCTACACCGAAGTAAGGGAATGCATAAGTGGCTTTTCTCAAGGTCAGTTGTGATTTATCATTAGCTGTTCTTTATTTGTTTCATGTTGCTTATGCACTTATATTTTAATGTTCAAAAACTAAACCAAGTTGTCTATCCCTGTGTTGATTGAACTTATTTAGACAAGTCCTGCATTCTTAAAACTACCAGAACCGGAAAACAGTTTGAAATAGCTTAGCTTATCAGCCAGACACAAAGGTGAGTTCATGAGATGTCACTTATGTTCTACCCCTTTTTTTTTTTACTATCACAAGAGATAAATATTAAGTTCTGAGGTTAATGGTATGATTTACAGAACGGGACTTCAGCATCTACAGACTCTCTATAGAGACAGTCTCAGAAGCACAAATATAAATTCTTGGGTTGAGCAGGGAGGTTTTTCAAGTCAGCCAATATGAAATGCTAAATATGTGTATGCGTCTGTCCTGTTCTTCTCTAGAACTTGGCTAAATGAAGAAGGACCATGCATTAAGCACTGAACAGATTGTAGCAGTTGTGTCCTCTTCTGAAGCTAGACACCAGCCTGAGTAGGCCGTAACTACTGCTCTTCCTGAGATAATTTCTCTTGAGCAGCAATAGCCTTCCTATACAAGGCATGCTGTGCACTAGAAAGTTGCTCTGTGAGGGCTTCTTCTTTCCTTCCTTCATCATATCTTGTTTTTCCTCAGAATAATCCTTAACGCTCTTTCCTTACATTCATTTTCCAAAGGGGTAGTTGGTACTCAGCAAGAATTAAAATTCAAAGGGACAAAACTACATGTATCATCCACACATTAAGACTTGAGTACATACTCCATAGTTTTCTTTCGTTTCCTTTCCTGTGATAATATAAAGTCTAAAAAGGTGTTTCGACAAACATCAGCAAAATTATCCCTGGTAAACAAACCAGGGCCTGAGATCAACTAGCACATGAGTTCAAGCCTTTCTGGGCCCCTTCTCCATACTCTAATGAAGAATTATTGTTCTTTGTGTGTGTTTCTCATTCAGTGTACATGGAGTAACCTGGGGGCTATGTGCAGCAGTGCTGCCCATTAGAGAGATGTTCTCAAGGGTATAAAAATGGAAGAATGTGCTGTATACATGTGGATGCAGGAAGAGACACCTAAATATAAATGGAAAGTAAGTACACTGTGCCACTATCCCTGAGAAGGGCACAGGTGCTGTGGCCAAATGCAGCACTCATGAGATTTGGGGTAAAATATCTAAATTGATAAAACTCTTGAGAAAGGTGACAGAAAAGGAAGAGAGAATGGCAATATTGTTTCATTGACTTACTGATTTGATTTTCCAAGATTTTTTTGTTGTTGTTGTTTTACACTCTGTAAAGAAGCTAGTGTTGGAATCAGTGCCACTTTTCTTGGTGTTCTGGATTCTAAAGATGCTCTGGAATTGAATGTAGTTCAACAATTTAGGTTTTTGTGGGTTTTTTAATACAACCACCACCAGTATAATCCTGTCTGGAGTATCAGTACCTTTTATTTGGATCTGATGTACTGTCTTTTAGTAATAAAATGAAGGTAACATTAACATATATTGTAAATTTAGCTGAATATCATTTTTAATAACTAAAGTTTACAAGTGGGAAAACTAATCATCAAATGATAGTTTATTAATGACACTGACATGATTTCAAAATAGATTTAATAAAACATTGAAGATTACATTCTCTTAAAGGACAATGTTATGTGTTGGCTCATTGGAAAAATGATACTGATAAGTCTGTCTAGGGCCAAGGTTTAGAATGTATCTGGATTCTCATTAACTGAAAACTGAGAACTGTGGATGTGTTCTGTAACTCCAGAAATAAAAAAACCCAAACCACACAAACAAAAAACCCCACAACAATGACCTGTACATTTTATCTCTGATCTCATTTTCATGAATGATTTAAATAAATGGATTAAAGTCATGTAAATTGAATACTTAAATTAAGCCATAGACTTCAGTGGGATTCATTTGATTCTCAGCATAATAATAACTTCTCAAGGAGCACTTGAATCCGTAAGATTTGTCCTCAAATATTTTAGTTTAGATGTGCAAAATATTATTTTTTGATGAGTATTGTAACTTGGAAGTATTGTAAAATTAACTCCTGGAGAATCATCTTCTTCCTAGAAGTGTTACATATGCAGTTATGATTCCCGTTTTGTGAAAACTTGTTCTCCCATACAGTACATTTTAAAGTTATTTAGAAAAGAGTTCCTCAGAACTGTGTTGCCTGAGGGGAACAAAGAATAACTGCTGCAAACCACTTTTTGACACAGACACACAATATCTGAAATATGGAAAGATACAGTAAATCAAAAAGATAAACAGAAAAGTATGGCAAAAACCATAGGAATAATCATAAAGTTATAAATAAAATGTGAATGTCAAATTGAAAAATGCACACATTGCCTTAGAAGCCAGTAACTAGAACACCATAACATGCAAACTGCAAAGTGGAATCAAGCCAGTGGTCCATCTAACCCACCCAGCAATGGTCATGATGAGAGGCTGTGGAGAGAAGAGGATAGGGGTACAATAAATATATGCAATATTTCTTCCTAATATTTTCCTATCCCAGAAGAGACAGATGAGAACAGACTGAAGCAAATTTTTACCAGAATTCCCCATGCTCAGTAAGTATTCCTAAATTTCAGAGGACCTCCCTGTAACCACAGGGTCATACTTCTGAGTTCCACAGTCTCAGATACTTCTGTTGTCCCTGTGGCACATGTGGAGAGTCAAGAAAGGAAAGTTTTGCATTAACCTAGAAAAAATTTCATTCATAATCTCTGAAAATAGATGTTAAATTATCTCTGTAGGACTGAGCAGCCATAAAGTCAACTGGGCAAAGCTAAAGAGTGTGGCAAGAGGGAAAAGTCATGGAGTGGCTCACTCAAGTTTCTCTCCATCGTGTTACCAAGGACAACTGTCCGAGATGGCAGCTGCCTCCATCATACAGGAGGGACAGAAAACTGCAAACGTTGCTTCAGAGGGATCCACACACCCCTTAAAGGCTTCTTTCAAATGAAATTGAATAATTTGTGCTTCTGCCACTAATTTGCTCCAGTAAAAGTCTATTTTAATTTTGGAAAGGAAAAATCTACAATGTTCCCTAAAGGTTCAAGTCTGCTTAAAAGGTTTCTCAAATTTTTCCAAAGTAAATGGCAGCCCAAACAAGCCACTTTTCTGTGTGTTTCTCTTGCTAAGGTAGAAATAACACTGGTGAAGCTAAACTTCTCAACCTGAGTGGTTATTGGGCAGTACTGTATCTGTTGGGGTGACACTGATGCTGTCAGGCTATTACAGGTTGAGTTCCAGAATTATGTGATGTCTGAGGGACTATAAAGCAATGAAAAATTCTGATGGCTTACATAAAGGAATATCTCAGATCTTTGATGATCAATAAGAGAAAGATGACAAATGGGTTTTTATTCCTAAGACACATGGAACTAAGAAAATTAGAGAAATGAAAGAAAAACTTTAAATTCTTTCAGAAAACTACATCATCACAAATTTAGATTGCTAATCACAAATGCTAATCTGACCTATCTCGTCAAATTGTTTCCTTCCTCATGTCCTCTAATCTTTCAGATACTGTCTGTTAAAAAGAAAGAAGTGGAGATTAAAAAGAATGAGAAATAAGTGAAAAATAATGGTAAGAATATAACACCAACAGTAGTTAGACTCATCCTCTGTATAGGTCAAAGGTGTCACTACAAAATATGAAGAATTATTATTGCAGTGAACTAAATAAGATACTGAGATCTAAGAAATACCAGAATACAGGTAGAAGGTTTTTCTGCATTTTATGT